TCTCGCCCCAGGCGGCCGAGGGGCGCGGCGGATGGGAGCGGACCCTGCGCCCGTCAGACCCCTCTCGCCTCACGCGGCCGAGGGGCACGGCGGATGGAAGCGGACCCTGCGCCCGTCAGGCCTCCTCTCGCCCCACGCGACCGAGGGGCGCGGCGGATGGGAGCTAACCCTGCGTCCGTCACGCCTCCTCTCGCCCCACGCGGCAGAGGGGCGCGGAGGATGGAAGCTGACCGTGCGTCCGTCAGGCCTGGGCTAGCCTCACGCGGCTGATGGAGCGGCACGGAGGCAGCGGACCACCGCGGGGGTCGACGCTGGTGCCCCGCCTTCAGGGAATGCCGCCACAGATAGCTCGCTCTCCGGTTTCAGGGAGGTCGTGATATCTGGGCTCCGGCGCGCCTCGACGGATGATTTCTGCTGGAGCTGGGAAGGCGCGGACACGCGGCCTTCGCGCAGACCGGTGCCGCCGGACTATTTGGCGAGATACGAATGCAAGGCTGTCGCAGTTTTGTCGCCACAGTTCTGCCGTCCCACGCCTGTGTCGGGGCCGCATTGTACGGGAGTAAGACATCCCAGAATCCGACGATGTACGAACTTCCTTCGTCGGCGAAAGATGTTCGCTCGCAATTATGCAAACACAGTTTAACACCGGTTGCCGATAAAAAGCGCAATGCAGTCTTAAGAAATTATTGTTATTATTATCCGTTCGCCGCCCATCCGGAACTGAAATGGGGATGACCTTTTATATGGTTTATTTCGCTAAATGTAAGAATCCGATTGGTGCGAACCCCAGCGACCCCACGCCCTGCCCGAATAATACAGATCGGGCGGGAAGAAGCCGGGACCAAACAACTGCACTCCAAGTAGGGACCAAACAACTGCACTCCAAGTAGGGACCAAACAACTGCACTCCAAGTAAGCTCATATGTATTCATTATTGAACGATATCTCACACCAGGTACTGGCAGTAGAGAACAATGTATACACAGGGATGTCTGGCGCGCCAGACTCAATACACACGATCAGGCCGCCGTCCAGAGCACAGCTCGTCATCCGGCCAACATACGGCCACCTCAGCTGTCACGTTCCGGCGCACCGCTACTGCGGCCGGCTGCCGTCGTCCGGGTTGTGCCAGAGCTCGGGCCGGGTGTCGAGCGGCGGCGGCGTGGGCGGCGGCCATAGCGGCGCGCGCTCGGCCACCGGCGCGGCCGGCCAGCCGGCGGCCGACTCGGCGGCGCGCGGCGACCAGTGCACCGCCGAGCGGCCGGCCAGCGAGGGCACCAGCCGCGGGTGCCGGTGGCGCAGATGGCTCCACAGGCCCGACGTGGACAGCTGCCGGTTCAGCCGGATGCCCAGGCCGCACAGCAGGCACACGCGGTCCTGCGCCTCGCCCGAGAAGAAGTCGCGTACCGCCGAGCGGACGGGGCGCGCCGCCGCCGCCGGCCGCGCCACCGCCTGCAGCGACGTCACCAGCGAGTCCAGACTGCGCAGACTGCCGCCGTCTGCAATAGCACAGAGGCCGCGGCCGGCCGACGGTCACAGCGCGTCCCGCCCGGCGGCGGCGGGCTGGTGCCAACAAGGCCCATCTCGCGACTTCCACATCCGTGGAATGCAGAACGTCATCCCACCGGCCGGTGGCGCGCGTCGCCTCCGCACCGCGACAGCGACGCCCCGTCGCCGATCCCTGGGGTGATCGGGGACGACACAGATATACAGATTTGTCCTGGATGAGTGACAGCCACGATGCGCGCTGTCCGCCGCGCTCGAGAATCCATAGACAGCGTCGCGCGCACTCTGGAAGAGCCGCTCAGGCACGGCGGCCCGCACAGTCCGTTTGGTCGTGCCACGACGCCCTGACTAGCGGCAGAGTCCATAGAAAAGTGGGCGAAGGGAGGGCAAGCCGCCGAGCCGGCTCAGGGCATGGACTGGCACGGCTGCCAGAGCGCCATGTGGTGCGCCGCGAAGCAGTTGGCGTGCAGCCGGGCGCCGCAGCCGTGGCACATGCGGCGCGTGTTCTTGAGGCAGCGCGCGCAGCGGCCCTGGATGGCGGCGCGCACGAGCAGGCTGCAGGCGCCGAACATCCGCCAGCTGGGCTCGCCCAGCCAGGAGGAGCGGCCGGGCCGCGGCGCCGCGCCTGAAACAGGCGGGCGCGCGTCAGAACGGCCGCAGCCGCGGCCGGCCGGGCCGCGGCACCCGGCGCCGACCGCGCCCAGTCACGCACCTGCGGCTGCCTGGCTCAGACTGGCCAGCGGGCGGCGGCGGCGGCGGCGGCGGCCGACGGGTGCCGCCGCACCAGGTGGCGCCGCAGGTTGGACAGGCTGGAGCGGTGGTAGCGGATGGTGCAGTGGCAGCCGCGGCACAGCGCCTCGTGCTCGCCCACCGTCACAAAGTGCTGCCACACGCCGGCCAGGCCGCGCGCCGCGTGACCTGCAACAGCGGGCGAGCCGTCGGTCACTGGCGCCGCCGGCTGCCGGCCGGCCGGCTCCGGTGCGGTCATGCCGGACCGAGCGGAGAGCGCGGCACCGTCCCACCCAGAGATGGAGGACGGCAGGCGTCACAAGTCGGCACGCCGCCACGCGGCGCCGACCATCGGAGGTGCGGTGCCAGACGACACGCCCAGCCGACGAGTGCAGACAGACTGACGCCTCGTGGTCAGCTGTGCAGCGGAAGATGCGATCTACGACCCGAGACGGGGGCAGCCTGCCCCGCTGACGATCGCTAGGAGCCCTCCGAGGGGCCGACGCCAGTGCAGTGCGGCGGACTGGGCGCTGGCGGGCGGACCAGCACCATTCACCGCTCAGCCAACAGCCGCCACTGTCGGCTGGGCGGCTCCACTATTGGATCTGGAAGTCGCTTCCTCAGTCCTCCGCTCCCTGCCAGCCCACAGCTAGAGTCCGAGCCCCAGCGCTCTCCACTCCCTGCTAGCCCACCGCTAGCATCCGAGCCCCAGCGCTCTCCACTCCCTGCTAGCCCACAGCTAGCGTCCGAGCCCCAGCGCTCTCCACTCCCTGCTAGCTCACAGCTAGCGTCCGAGCCCCAGCGCTCTCCACTCCCTGCTAGCCCACAGCTAGCGTCCGAGCCCCAGCGCTCTCCACTCCCTGCCAGCCCACGGCCAGCGTCCGAGCCTCCACGCTCCAATCCCTGCCAGCCCACGGCTAGCCTCCCACACAAACACGGTACTCAACGTGATGATGTTATTGATAAATGAGCCCGTCGCCTCGACCGAACAGACACCGGGCACAACAGCCCCACGCGCCGTGAAGCCACTGGCGCCGCGTGGCGCCACCGGCCGGCGCCGGCACGCGGCTACTCTGTGGCGCGGTGCAGTTGGTGGTAGCGCTCCAGGTGGCGCCACAAGTTCGAGGTGGAGGCCGAGGTCGGATGGCGGTATGACTTGAGACAGAGGTTGCAGGTGACCGTGTCGGCGTCCAGACGGGTGAACTGCTGCCAGGCGAAGCTGGCCCCCGAGCGAGAGCGCTCTGCAACGGCAGACGGGCGCCGGTCAGCTGCGCCAGCCCGCCCGCGCGCCGGCAGCGGCCAGACGGCGGCGACGGCGGCGGCGGCGCAAGACGGTCGGCACCAGTCGGCCGTGGACGCCCGGCGGAGCTCGGACCGGCGAGACGCGGACGGCCGGCGCGAGAGGCGGCGGCAGCGGCGGCGGAGCGCCATCGCCGCTCGCCGTCTGACCGGCATTCCACCACCGCCGCCACCGCCGCCGCCGTCGCCAGGCAACAGAACGGAGCTACGCACTGCATCCCGCTGACAAGCCGACTAGACGCAATTCTCCCCACCTCTCGCGCGAGGTAGACAACAGCCGGGTCAGTCACCGTGCTCCAGTCGAGCGACTGTGCTTCGAAGGAGAGCACTGCTGCCCAGCCGCCACGGTCGGTATCAGGGCTCGTGTTCGCTATGGGTAAGCGGAGAAGCACTCACTGTATCTCCCTTTCCATCCTCTACTCCCCGAGCGGCAGTTCTCCGCAACTAATACGGACAGAACTGTACGCTTTCGTTTTCGTGACAGATCGCCTAATGCATCATAAAATGTCCATCCCACGGCGCTCTCTGCAGCCGCGTCCGACGCCCGGACCCGGTGCTGCTTCCCGACCGGTGTGCGACCGGCGGGCGGGCACGGAGCAGAGCTCGACGCTCGAGCCAGGCCGGGCCGAGACCGCTCCAGTGGCGTGTGTGTGTGTGTGTGTGTGTGTGCGTGTTTGGACGAGACGAGCAAGGCCCCTCAGCCACCTCAGCCACCTCCGCCAGGCCCGGTGCCGGCCGCCACGCGCACACAGCAGGGCGGACAGGACTGCGGCCGGCCGCCACCAGCACACGCTCAGCAGGCCGCCCACTCACGCGGCACGGAACGCTTAGGTTACTGTATGCAACAGCGCCAGCAGCAGAGACAGTAGCAGCAGCAGCACCAGCAGCGCCAGGCGGCTGGAGCGCGCCACTGGCAGACGCATTTAATGCTTTAGGCTTTTGGCACGCCGAACGGTCGGAGGCATTCACTGCTCTACGTAAAAGTCACTGCTGACTTAAAAAGCGGGTACCCTTAAAGCGAGAGCGCCTAGGCGACATATCTGGCATGATTGTGACTTAATATTATAGCTCGATTTTTGGACATGTCAATCCATATGATTCAAGCTTTTCGCACTCATTTGCAAGCTCCATCAGTTTAAATCTCCATCAGTTGTTGCAAATTTGTGACCAAAATCCAGTGTAACTACGCTGGAGACAACATCTTATAAATGCATCGCATTTGTTCCATGCTATTTCTCCGTAAAGAGCTCACTCCTTATCTGTCGTCCAGTCCGACATCAATGTTACATGTGCCAAAAATAGCTTACGGCCAAATAATGTCTCCATGACAAGTGCTCGTAGAGCAAATTTTGCACTTCAAATTAGTGACATGTCCCCGCACCGAAAGCATCGAGCTATACCACGTGACCACCAGACACTCTCGCTTTAATTGCAGTACGATATAGCTAAAAAGAAAGAGTACTCACTCGCTGATGTGTCGGCTGATTCATGACCTATTGTTGCCATTGCTTGTGCTGCCAAAGGAGAGAAGACGGATTAACGCCCAGCAGAGCAATTGCAGCCAAGCACCTGCCCAACTTTGCGCAACAGCAACTGGAGTGACAGGCTGAGCAACAGAGCACACATCAACACGCATAACCTCACGTCTTATATCGCGGGTCCTGACGCGTCTCCGACAACCCGCTGCAACTGAAATCGCATGCCCTCCCCGAGCGTACTCCGGATAGGCGCCGGCTCGCGCTGCAATCGTCCGCACGGCGGCGCCACTCACCGACCACGTCCGAGCCGGCGCCCTCCATGTCCGGGTCGAGCATCTCGCCCGGCTGGGAGTGGTCCAACAGCTCTCCCACCATCGTGTCGGCCATGCCCTCTGCCTTGATGCTGACGCTGATGTTGACCGTCTTCTCGGGGTCGTCGGCCAGCGGGGGCGGTGGCGGCGGCGGCGCGTGCGCGCCGGCCGGCCCGTCGGCCGCCGCCGCAGCCGAGCCGGAGGCGGGCACCGGCTGGACGGCCGGTGAACCGGGCCGCGCAGGCTCAGCGCGCCGCCGCTTGGCCGACGGCGGCTCCGAGTCGGCCGGCCGCGGTCGGCTGGCCGTCTGCCGATAAAGGAGGTCGGTCAGCGCGCGCCGCGCTCGGACCAGCGCTCCTGGCCGGGCGACACAGGCCGCAGATGCACGGCGTTCGCTCCGTATCATTGAGCCGACCATACGACAGGAGAGCGGCGATGCCCGATGGTGGGAAGCGCCGAGACGAGCGCGACTGCGTGCAATTCCTCCACGATCAGGAGCTCAAAGAGCTTGGCCTCGCTGAGAGCGAGGCCAAGTCAAATAACGCCCAAGAACATGCTCGCAAAGTCAGCAGACACAATATTCCAGGATAAGAGCTCAGTCTGGCACCTATGCCAACCTGCCTTACTACACTTGGGAGCCCACCTTCTGTGAGTTCTTCTTGGTGTCGTCGTCGGCCAGGCCTTGGATGGAGAAGGTCTCAGCCACCTGCAGGAAGGCGCCCAGCTGCGACTGTTTAACGTTCACCTGGCCCTGGTAGATGAACTCCATGATGGCCTGCATCACCTCGAAGTCAACAGTGGGCAGCACGATGACCGGGTGCTGCTGCGGCGGGATGCCCTGCGGAGACGCCGGCGGCGGTCGGTCAGGTCGGGCCGACGATGGGCGCGCAGACACGACGCGTCAGCCTCACTACTAGCCGTCCCACCAACAGACCCATGCTCGCTGAGCGTACCCGGTTGGTCAACGGGTACTCATTCAGAGACATGCAAGGCACCACTGGCACGTCGTGAACAGTGGGACGCGACTTCACACCGCAGTCGCCGCTGTCGCAGCCGTTCGTCCGGCATCCCCGGCCCGACACCACCGCCGTCCGCCCGGTATCCCCGACGCCGCAATCGCGTCCGTCCCGCATCCCCGGCCCCACACCGCAGCCGTCCGTCCGACATCCCCAGCCTGACACCACCGCCGTCCATCCAGCATACCCGGCCTCACACCGTTCCCGTCCGTCCCGCATCCCCGGTCTGACACCACCGCCGTCCGTCCGGCATCCCCGGCCCCACACCGCCGCCGCCCGTCCCGTATCCCCGGTCTGACACCACCGCCGTCCGTCCGGCATCCCCGGCCCCGCGCCGCCGCCGTCCGTCCGCATCCCCAGTCCGACATCGCCGCCGTCAGTCCGGCAACCCGAGCCTGACCTCGCCGCCGTCCGCCCGGCATCCCCAGCCTGACACCGCTGCCATCGCGCAGCACCCGATGCTGCCACTCACCCGCAAAATCTCCTTGAAGTGAACAGAGCAGGCAGAAAGGATGACACGATGTGCCTTCATCAGGCGGCCGGCACAGGAGAGCGTCACATCCGTGAATGACTCATCCCCTCGCAATGCCTCCAGGGACAGGTGGAAGTTGCTGTGGAAGTCATTCCAGCGCAGACAGAACTCCTGCTGGTCACCCATCCTGGTGCTGTAATGGATCAGTTGGCATCTCAAACAGCTGTGCTGTACTTCTGATTAGCATCTCAAACAGCTGTGCTGTACTGCTGTCTCTATCATGGTGGCAGCAGTGAAGCTGATCATGCAGTTGGTGCCTCTAGCACCATATGGCAGGGGGGGGGGGGGGGCAGGCAGAAATCAGTGACTACCATATCAAGTTAAAGCTGTGTGGCATATCTACGCTTGACATTTGAAAATGAATGTCATGAATTGCAGCTTTCATAAGCTTTGCAAATTCATTTTACCTCACTGCCTAGTATTTCAAGTCTCCATAGCATGCCTGAGGTTGACAATAGCTTTATATGACGGTTTTGGACAATTCCAAAATTTGTTCCCTGCCATCTCAAGGGGGAGTCATAAAATGATCAGAGCTTCAGTTCCTGACATTCCATCATCTCATGAGGCCCTATAGTAAGATAACTAGTCAGTGTTAAGAGACATCACATTGGTATCACTGGTGTGTGCCTCACAAAGCCACTGAAATGGTCTATGTCATCTAAATCTTGCATGCAAACCATACAAAATTGGTATCAGCAGATACACCAGATGTGTATGGATACTCCTAACATATGTATTTAATGCTTTGTCAGATGACAACAATGACATTATCTCCTAAACCTGCTGCCCAATTGTTGATATAGCAGCACATGAAGTTGTCCCTTGGCTGTCAGTTAATTATGAGAAAATAGGGCAGGTCACTAACAAAATGCATCGCTTAACCACCACCACTGCCCGGCTGGTCTTGCGTGCTCCCATAGCCAGCACCGGCAGCCTAGTCTGCAACATACACATGCCCCAGCCCGCCAAGTTCATAAAGCCAACTGCACCCTTCCAGTAACACGTGCACCTTAAATCAGGCGGACAGTGACCAAAAGGAACCAGACGGCACAGAACGTAGCATTAAAAACAGAAGATGAGATGGCGTATCCCACACCTCCCCGGGCGTAGCCCGCGAAAAGCCAGAGCTATACACACCTCAGTTAGTGTATGATATAACAGCTCTTTTAGAACCTTCAATGGCCAACAATCACAGCCTATTTACGCGCGCGTGTAAATGCCTACCGCCCTCGATTAAGCCCAAATCACGCAAACTCCTGCAGCCGGCAGTCAACTATTTACCCGCGATGGTACAAAATGGCGACTTCAAAATGCCCTTCACTACGGCATTCTGATATTCTATTCGCTTTTCATGGATATAAGTAAGTAAGACCGCTAAGATGGCGCTTTGTTTTAAAGGAGAATAACTCATTAGGAGATATTATCTTGTGCAGCTTATGGCGCAACTCATGTACCGTTTAGTTGCGTATTTATTTAATTCCACCACTATTATATCGCTGGCGAGTATTCGTCGACATTTGTCGCGCAGGCAAAAGACCAGTAAAATACAAGAAGTAAAATTTGTCCGTAATATTGGTCCGCCACTGCAAGGATACTGAACGTCATATCTCTGGAAACAATCATTCATGATTTAACCTGTGCAAAGAAAGCACATCCTCAGAGGCCATATTCGTCTTTGACATAAAAGGTAAGTATGCACCTTTCCAAAAAAACAAAATTATCTTCAATATGTTAGCGCTAAGCTAAACCCACTCCCCAACCCTCAAGCGGTCCCATCTCTTCCAAAATCCTTAATCAGAAGCGTGAGATCCAGGGGCGATGCTTTTCAGAATGAGTTTGGGTTGACCCTCTTAAAAAGCCAACAAACAAGTTTCTTTCCAGACCAGGCTCACGTTCTTGCCATAGCTGCGAGGCAGGAGCTAAAGCCTATATTGCTGGAGGGAGCTTCAGTCCCCTCTCCAACTGAAGAGGAGACTGCACCTCTGGCGGGATCATTAGATAAGAGAAGGAGGCATGTCTTAAACAGGGGTTTATTTTATGATGATGGTCATCAGAGTGACACAAGTGCTGGTTTGACTTATGTGTTTACATGGGAATCGGATCAGACAATTTACATCCTTTCGAAATGAAAGCTAAAAATGTGGCTCACTATCTATCCAAACTATCTATCAATACACACTGAAAGCTTCATGTTTGTCAGGGATGGAAGAACATCAACAATTTCAAGAACCAAACATCTAAAAAGTAAAGGCACACCTTTTGAAAGTCGGTGAAAGTTTGAGTCAAGGTCAGTCTGTCAAGCTCATGCCATTATTTTTCCGGAGTTTCAATGTTTCAATATCCTTTAAAACCACGATATGGCCGAATCTGTGGGCCGATGTCAGTCATCTCTTTGCTTTGCTTCAGTCGAACAAATTGCACCCTTGTTTATAGTAGCTTCATCCCCAACCCAGACCGAGTTGTAAACAAATATGGCAGCCCCCATGGTCATGTCGATATCGGCGGTGATCGCAAAACATTCGAAGAGCAGCTTGCGATTTGCGTTTAATCCAAGTAAAAGGTGTCACACTGTTACTATGGCTGACAGTGGCAAGCTATGCTCCAAGTTCAGGGGCTGCTTGGTAGGTGCTCTTATGGGAGACTGTTTAGGCGAACCTTTTGAAAATGACGATTACGAAGAATTGCCTAGTGAAAGGCAATTGAATGATTTTTTCCAGCAGCTGGTGCAAGCAAAAGTAAAAGGTATGGTGAAGGCTGGCAATGCTAACAAATTAAGCTGCACATTTAACCACTTTGCAGAATACATGGGGTTATCCATCATTTTCCAAGGAGAACAAATGGGTATCTGCATAGGTACCTAGCTACCTGAAGTTTCAACATAAGAAATTGAAAAAGGAGGAAAACAATTCCAAAACACTGGGTCTTAAAACCAGTCTGTTTCAGCTAAGGGATGCACTTGATGAGCCAATAAACTGAGGCTCTGCCCAGGGCATAAGCCAAAGTCAAACATAGCTAGTGCTGAGGGTCAAATTATTAAGTTACTTTCAAGCACCTATTCACCTGCTGGTTTCATGCTGCAAGAGTATAATTTTTTTGGACCATCTCTGTTTGCATGTTAGGACAAAGGCAACTGCAGAGAAAACAGCACAATCCCTGACAAAACTTGGTTTACAAACTCATGTTTAGATAAGAGCTGACAAAATTTAGTATGATAAATGAGATGCAAGTGGGCATGGGCATAGGAATAGTGGTCCATGGTGCTATGACACATCCACTTCCTGGGAATAATGGACATCAGTCATTGCTGACATGTGAAAGGCACTCATTTATGTACACACATATGGATCATCACAATGGGCATTGGACTCAGATGTATTCTGGCATGCTGGTTAATCATCATAAAATTTAATAATTTTTTCACTGTCTCTTGAATCAGGAGTCCTTATCAGGGTGCCCTGCTGTTTGAGTGACATATGCATTCTGGCATGCTGGTTAGCCATTATAAGTGACATGTGTATTCTGGCATGCTGGTTGACCATTATCAAATTTCTAAAAAAAGAAGTCAGAACAGTTTTCACCGCCTCTTGAGTCGGAAGTCCTAATCAAGGTGTAATGCTGTTTGAGTGACATGTGCTGTTGCTTGATTGCTACAATAAACTAATTAGGATTGAGGGTGCTTGAACAGCTTTCCCCAGCAGTAAGTTGTTATGCTTTGCATTAACTATCCAGCATTATGTTATTTGTCTCTTCTGCTTTTCTGTCTCAAGATGAAATGTCTGTCTCATAATGAAGAGATGGCAGGTAGCTCTGCAGTCAGTCCTAAGGTAGCCCAGAGCCCTGCTATTATGATGATTAAATGTCAAGTAACATTCAGCTGTACAGAAAGCAGTACACAAAGCAGTACTGTACTACACAAAGCAGTACTGTACAGAAACCTACTTATATGCAAAATAATGGTTGAATCTGCTCTTTTGGATTTAGACAGTTGATGCCAATAACCTCATTATTTAATCAACCAGCAGGCAGCAAAGCATGTGAAATAAATTTATAGAGGCTGTTGGAAAGTCAATACAACTCTTAACCGACAGGAAGTGAAAAGGTATAAGTATTTAGAAAATACAGATAACTGGTTTCATTTTGACCTATGTTTCAGTTCCCTACAAGAATTACACTGATGATACTGCAATGACAAGATGCATTGCAGAATCCCTTATCAATAAACAAGCATTTGATGCCAAGGACATGGCAACAAGGTATGAATCTGTTTCAAAGGCTAATCCTTCAGATAATATGTTTTTAAGCCTATTAGTATTGCTGTGTCAGAGGTCTCCATGTGGTTGCTAAGTTGACAGTGGAAGGTGACCATTTGGCATATTGCTATCAGTGCTAGTTAAGTAGCACAGCATGCTTTGATCGGCCTATCTTATGTTCTTGAAAGGTGTGTCTGACATGCTTTAAGGTCACTATTTAGCATTCAAATGCTTGTGTGATCTATTTTGGTGCATTCCAGTATCAGTTAAAGGTCATAGTTTGCTCTGGTTGGTGGACATTATGTTCTTGATAGTTATGCCCTTCATGTTTTGGAGGTCACCACTCATCAGTCAGAGGCTTAACATGGCTCGCGGCTAGGACTGACATCCGTGATGTCTGCCTGTCCCCCCCCCCCCCCCTCCCAATGTCATGGTGCTCACCGACCAGGTTCGTCAAGGAATACTTCACTGAGCCAGGGCGCGGCTATGGCTCCAACGTGCCAGTCGTGTTCGGCAACTTGCGCAAACAGGAGTGCGAACAGCCATTCCTGCCAGCGCGTGAGCAGTTCAACGGCCGCGGCTCCTTCGGCAACGGAGGTTCGTCCGGGGCCGGACAGCCGCGGCTGCCGCCGCCTGCCCGCCGCCCGTCACCCGCACGCCGTCAGTGTCCCGGCGCTGAGGTGGCGAAGCTTGCTGATGTAACGCGGCTGGAATTTGGGCTTTGCGTAGTGTGTGGAGAGATGTGATCTTGGGCGAGAGGTACAATGCCCTAGTTTTATATTGTTTCATTCGCACCCACTCTCGCAGTGTGTGCGTGGGACCTCTTGATATATCCTGTGGGATGGGCGAGCGGCCGTCCGCAAGCAGAAGCGTCAGCTCGCCCCGCTGGTGCTGCAGGTGCCATGCGGGTGGCTCCGGTGGCGCTCTTCTGCCACAACAACGTCCAGTCTCTTATCGACGTGGCCAAGAAGTCGGCGCTCATCACACATGCGCATCGAGAGGGCTACAACGGCGCCATTCTACAGGTGATCAACTACGTGGACTGGTGTCTGCTCTAAATCTGATTTCCTGCATGAAATTTTTGGTGTCTCCCGATTTTGAAATAACAATGGTAAGCGCCATATCCATATTCGTATTCACTTGAACGCTGGGGTGGTTTGTCGTTGTGTTTTGGAAATAACGTTGGAGCGCAACAGTGGCTACAGTAATCCGGGTGTGTAAGAAAACTATCCGTCACTTTCATAACATAATCACGCTGCCCTTTTAATATTTACTCGGGCATGTTCTCTGGCCTCCTAAGTGCCTTTTTAAAGCATATGAAGTCCGACCTTAGTTGATTAAATGGGTTTATGGGGCCGACGTCCTCGCAAAGTAGTGCGTTTTGCGCACGTCCCGACGCCACCATCGGATCGGGAGGCTCAGGTTCAATGGCAGACCCTTGCGGCGAAAGCCTACCTTGCCGCGATGCTCGACAGGGTCAGCTCTGTTCCCTGGCGTGACCTGACCGTTAGCGCAATCGCTGCCACCGGTTGCAGGCCGATCCATTCGGGGATGAGTAGCAAACGCTTAAAGCGATTCGAACCCACCCGCCCTCAAGTGGGCATATGGGAAGGCAGGTGCTGTAACCGAGCTGTCGGGATGGGTGGTGGATTACTCCGGTAATTTTTTTTTTGCCAGGAGTGTTTTGTGTATCAGGGCTAAATCGTAAAATTGAGATCTTAGCGTTCCCCCATATTTTGCGCACAGGAGATGAAGAAAAGAGAAGTGGGAAACTTCATTTAACCTGCCAGCAGAAAGGTGTGACATAGCAGCTTCTTGAGCTGGCTGCACGAGGAGCAGATGAGAAGGGGAGGGGTAAATGTTTTAATTGCGGAACGTCATTTCGCAATCGTCGGTGTGTGGGCGTAGCCACCAGTGGGTCCGTTAGGGTGAGGACCCCAGTCATTGCATTGGCTGATTCCGGCGTTTTGACCATTTGAAAGAATGTCAAGAGTGCGCTGGACCCCAGTAGCGTCCGGAGTATTGTCACACAC